ATTGCTTGTGACCTTAGCAGACATGAAAGGACGTGGTGTGCTGGCGCCAGTAGAAAGCATATTCTTCAATTACTTTTTTTAATATTAAAAGTGGAATTATTAATTCTATTTTATTGTTAAAAATATTATTTTTAAAAAATAACATAATTAATAAATAAATTCAAAACTGTCGTAAACCGATAACATTATTTTAAAAAAACTGTATAGTAATAAATAACTCCAAAAGTAGTCCTATCCATTAAATTTTGAAGAGTCACAAGCTCTAAGGGAAGGGAATTATTATTTCATCCTTCTCCAATATTATTGTCCTTATTTTCTGCTCAAATGAACCCAAAATAGCAAAAAGCCAGCATTGGATTTTTTTTTTTTGTCACTATCACTCCACTAGTATGGCTTATTCATTTAATGCATAATGTCCACTCAAACTAATGTAGCCAAAGCTTGGCACCAAATTTAAATAGTTTTTTTTTTTTGGGTTTTTTATTTTTAAATTTTTTTTGGAACAGTATTTGTTTTACTTTTTTATCCTATTTTTCCAGATTTATTACATTCTTTTTAAATATATGTATAATTATATGTAAAACTAAGTGTATTATTGTTATATATTAAGATGCATTACATCACTTTTTGTAAATATTGGATAAATATGCTTTTCACCATTTTGACAAAATTAATTTATTGATTAAAAAAATTCGTTGTCAACCGATAGTTTAGTTTCTGCAATAAGAAGCATTGTGGCAAAACTTGTCACAAGTACGGGTATTCATCCTACCCTATGAGTAGAAATTATAGTATTTTATCTTGCTATTCAATATTTTGTAGGAGAATTTTTTTTTTGCCTACCTTACCTGATCAAATATATTATTCTTATCCGATTCGGTCCAAAAAAATCGGATAGGAAGTTAGGTAGAAAATCGGGTGAACACATATTTCTTAGTTATTAATTTTTGAATCATTTTAACAATTTAATTAAGTAACCTGCACCAATTAACTAACACAACAAATCATAACCATCAATAAAATATTAAGGTTTCTAGATTTTTGAATTTTAATTTTTAGGGATTAACATATATATATAATCAGTAAGGTAGAGTAGGAATACAAAAATTTTATATGTATTCTGCATTTCTATCCAATTTTTTGCGGAATATCAAAAAATCTTTCGTTGGCCTATCCAATTTTTTCGGATAGCCGATCAGTAACGTTAGATAGGGTAAGATAAGATCAAAATTTATGAGTTATCGAAAATTTAAACACCTCTAGTAACAAGTGAGAAAAATAATAATTAAGAAACTAGAGAGTCCGCCAAGTTTTTTTATAGGAATATTATTGACCTTCCTTGTGCAAAAACAAAACCTTAAAAAATTTCCAAAAAAATAATTTAAAAAATATTACCAAAGCATAACTAAATTCTCCATGATATTTTTAATTCAACCTACTCCATTAATACAAGTAATTGTTTTGTGTTGACATGGCTACGAAATGTGGTCAAGGGTTCGATTTTTATGGCGGGAGATCCTTCTAATGCATTTATTCTTCAATTTCTTTATTAATAGATCACTTATCATGTATTCAAAAGAGACTCATAATATACAAATAGATCTTGCCCTCATTAATGGTGGATTACCTACCAAAAAAAAAATTAAAGAAAAAATATATTAAAACGAATTTGAATTTAATTTTTATCACTTCCAATGCTAAAAAAAACCTTTAAAGATTGGCCATGACACTTTGACTGTGGTTAACTCTATCAGCACAACTTTTCCTTGGTTGCAATCCTTAAAAAAAGACCTCTCATGTCGATATTTGGAATCGAGTGAGTTTTTTTTCCTTGTTATTGTCCTTCTTTACCCAACCCTCACGTCACATTTCTTCACTGTCAAGATATAGAAGTACTAAACCATCCTTTTATCTAAAAGTTTATACTCTCTCACTCAAACACCTAAGTCCGTCAATAAATTGGATTCTGATCTGAATTTGAATTTGATCAAGTGGATATAAATTGATAATTTTTTTTATCGATAATTTAAATCTAAATTTGAATCCGATATATTATATTTCAAAGATTCGGATTTAAATATACATATATTCAATCCGATTATGAGTTGGTCCGAATTATTTATATATTTTTATATAAAAATTAAACAAATTAATTGATTATTTAAAGGAATTTAGGTATAACTTGTTAAAATTTAGTTAATTAAGTTATTTAGATCGGATCAAATTTCAGATAATTAATAGAATCGGATATAAACCACAAAAATAAAATCCATTGAATTATCGAATCAGACTTTTAAAATTAAATTTAGATTCAGATCGGTCAAAATCCAATATAAACTCGATATGTTGACTTGCCTAGCTACACTCCATCTACCAATATCATTGAGTAAAATTAAAAAAAAAGTAATGCTAGATGAATTTAAAAATTAGACTTAAAATTTAGACTTGATAATCTCAACCATTAAATAGGTAGTGGATCCCAATAAATACTAGAATTTACAGTAAAATCAATAGTTGAAATTATTAAATCTATTTTTTAAGTTTACGAATTATTGCTCTTAAAAAAATATATAATATAGAGGATTTAAATCCATTTGATTGGACCCAAGAANTATTGCTCTTAAAAAAATATATAATATAGAGGATTTAAATCCATTTGATTGGACCCAAGAAACACAACTTTTCCTTTTACACATATTTATGCCATGTGAAACTACTGATTTGTGCAAAAAGGAAGTGGCCCTTCAACAGCTCCCAGTCCATCATCGTTCAAACTTGTCTACCCTCCATTCCACTGGCTATATATATTTCCTCCTTCGGATNCCTTCAACAGCTCCCAGTCCATCATCGTTCAAACTTGTCTACCCTCCATTCCACTGGCTATATATATTTCCTCCTTCGGATTTCCTTTTCTACTCATACAAATTTTCCTCCCTCTCCTTCCTCTTCTCCACCTACTTTCCTTTCCTTATTTTCTTTTCTTCGACTTCAACAATGGCACGTGGGTGTAATGTTTGGTGTATAGTTTCCACAGTACTGTTGTTGTTTCTGAATTTGAAACCTTTGATTTGTGGAGAATCACAAGTCCCTTGTTACTTCATTTTTGGAGACTCACNGTGTATAGTTTCCACAGTACTGTTGTTGTTTCTGAATTTGAAACCTTTGATTTGTGGTGAATCACAAGTCCCTTGTTACTTCATTTTTGGAGACTCACTGGTGGATAATGGCAACAACAATGACCTTTTGACTCAGGCCAGAGCCAATTTTCCTCCCTATGGAATTGATTTTCCCGATGGTCCAACCGGCAGATTCACCAACTGCCGGAATATGGCCGACATTTTGGGTATGTTTCTTATCCACCCCACTTCTCCCACCTAACTTCATCTATGGGAAAGTTATACGTTGACCCTTGAAAGAGTAAATTACACTTTGCTCCCTGAATTATTATTTTAATTTTACTTTTTACACCCTCAACTATAAAATTTCTAACATTGAACTCTAAAACATCAATTTCATTTTATACCACTTTAATAAATAACCGCAAACTTGAAAATATATCAGATGAGGGAGAAAAATCCCAAAGAGTTTACCACCAACTGCTTAGTAGATAGTACCATTTTATTTAACCTCTTTTGTAACTAAATGGTTGCTGGGAAGAAAAAAAAAGTTGGTCAGAAGAAAAAAATTTGGAGCTTAGGAAAGGTAAAGTCATGAATGAGTATTTTTCTTATTTTTTGATCTACACATGTGTAATTGACAGTTGCTTATTAGCAATACAAAGTTACAAACCACTCATATGTGCATTTACCGTCAAAAATTAACAGTCGTTATCTATTGGAGTGATATAAAATAAAATTAATATTTTAAGATAAAATGTAAGAATTTTATAATTAAGGGTGCAAAGTAAAATAAAGATAATAATTCAAAGAGGTAAAATATAATTTATCCCCTTTAAACTATGGTGTTTCCCCTTGGTATTGCCTCATCATTGTCATCAACTATTATGTTCCTGACAAAACACCGTTACCAAATTCCCATTATACCCATGATGAACTATTTGATGATAACAAACATTTGGGTGNCTTGAAAGAGTAAATTACACTTTGCTCCCTGAATTATTATTTTAATTTTACTTTTTTCACCCTCAACTATAAAATTTCTAACATTGAACTCTAAAACATCAATTTCATTTTATATNTTGCTCCCTGAATTATTATTTTAATTTTACTTTTTTCACCCTCAACTATAAAATTTCTAACATTGAACTCTAAAACATCAATTTCATTTTATATCACTTTAATAAATAACCGCAAACTTGAAAATATATCAGATGAGGGAGAAAAATCCCAAAGAGTTTACCACCAACTGCTTAGTAGATAGTACAATTTTATTTTACCTCTTTTGTAACTAAATGGTTGCTGGGAAGAAAAAAAAAGTTGGTCAGAAGAAGAAAATTTGGAGCTTAGGAAAGGTAAAGTCATGAATGAGTATTTTTCTTATTTTTTGATCTACACATGTGTAATTGACAGTTGCTTATTAGCAATACAAAGTTACAAACCACTCATATGTGCATTTACCGTCAAAAATTAACAGTCGTTATCTATTGGAGTATATAAAATAAAATTAATATTTTAAGATAAAATGTAAGAATTTTATAATTAAGGGTGCAAAATAAAATAAAGATAATAATTCAACGAGGTAAAATATAATTTATCCCCTTTAAACTATGGTGTTTCCACTTGGTATTGCCTCATCATTGTCTTCAACTATTATGTTCCTGACAAAACACCGTTGCCAAATTCCCATTATACCCATGATGAACTATTTGATGATAACAAACATTTGGGTGAAGTTAGTAATTCAATAGTTTAAGGGTGAAGTGAGCAGTTCAAAGCTACTAAAACTAGAATAATCATTAAATAATCAACTGCAACTTTGATATTTAGGTTTTACATATAAGTCACATGCTTCATGAAGTTGCTGAAGTTTAATGGTAGTAGTTGATAGCCATAACTATGATACTGATTGAAATTAAACACTCAATGGTCACAGCTGAACTTCTAGGCTTTAATGATTACATTCCTCCATTTGCAACTGCAAGAGGCCAGGATATTCTCAAAGGTGTGAATTATGGATCTGGGTCAGTTGGAATTCGAGATGAAACCGGACAACAATTGGTATTCCCCAGACCTTATAACATCCCCTGAATTCGTATTGCGNACTATGATACTGATTGAAATTAAACACTCAATGGTCACAGCTGAACTTCTAGGCTTTGATGATTACATTCCTCCATTTGCAACTGCAAGAGGCCAGGATATTCTCAAAGGTGTGAATTATGGATCTGAGTCAGTTGGAATTCGAGATGAAACCGGACAACAATTGGTATTCCCCAGACCTTATAACATCCCCTGAATTCGTATTGCACAATATTTTTCAGTTTTTATTAATGATCAGCAAAATACTCAAGGCGTGATGAGCAGCCCGACGACCCGACAACCCACCGGACTAATTGGGATCTAGGCAGAGTCGTGGGTGGACCATTAGCCTGGTGGGTTGGGCATGAAAGTTTAGGATCAGATATCCCAATGGGCTATAACCCAGTAGCCCAGTTAAGGCCCATTTAGGAACCATGCTGAATTTTAACCCGTTAAAACCTCATTGGGCTAGCTCGTGTTCAGGCCTTGGGCCTAGGTGTTTCAATTAATAAGCCCAAGGNGATCAATTTTTCAAGGTTTGTTTTCTTTTTAAATTTGTTTTCAGTAGAACCATGAACAGAGTCATTAATCAAAAGAAGGTCCAATGATCGTATTCATTGGGTTAAAAGAAGGGTTTTTTAGGTGTAGGTACAATTTTCAATACTTATTTGAGCAAAAGTGTATGGCTAAATGATTTATTCTATTAAGAACAATTTTTATAAATTTTTTTATGTTTAGGTACAAAATTCAAATGAATTAAAATCTAAACATCCTTCCTTATTTTATGCCGCCATGATTGACAGTTATTTTAGTAAACGAATATTTAAAGATTACATATTTGTTATCTTCTTAATTTTTGAATTTTGAATGAGCAATTTTGTGAGATTTATGCATCTATTAACAGTTATTTTAGGAAACAAATATGTAATATTTACATATTTGTTATCTTTATTTTTTTGAATCAAACGTATGTGTTCAACTGATGAGTCTTCTTCAACATAAATCTTCTTTAACATAAGTCTTTTTCAACGGCGATTTACTTCTTTGGTGGTGGATTTATTCGAAAAAAAGAACTGCAAATACCAATCACCGTCATCAGCTTAAAAATTAGTTGTTAATAATAATATTCATTCTTTTATTTTGTCATTTTTTTTTGGGAAAATTTCTATGTTCGATTTTGTTTTATGTTTATTCGTTATTGGAATGAAGAAGAAAAAAAACTTCATTTGGTTTTAATTGGTGTAACTATTTTTTCTTATAGACATAATAAGTATATTTCTTCTTTTATTCGGTCATTTTTTTTTAGAAATGACTATGTTCGATTTTGTTTTATGTTTGTTCGTTGTTAGAATGAAGAGAAAAAAAAAGTACTTTTGGTTTTAATTGGTGTAACCATTTTTTCGTATAGACATAATAAGTATATTTCTTCTTTTATTAGAGCATTTTTTGGGGAAAATTCTTATGTTTGATTTTGTTTTATGTTTGTTCGATGTTGGAATGAAGGGAAAAAAAATTGATTTTGTTTTAATGTGTGTAACTATTTTTTAATTGGTGTAACTGTGTTTTAATGAATGTAATTTTGATTTAATGGGTGTAACTATGTCAATACAGTTTCAACTATTAATTTTTGAATATTAATAGTTTGCGATTGTGATCACAAATAGTTACTTAAAACAATTATGTAACTATTTTTAATCAAAAAATCAAACAACACAGATTGTGAGAAAAAAAATTAATGAATGACAAAAATACAAAAAATGAATGTCACTTACAATTTCCGGTGAAGAAGTTGTTGAAGATGATTCACAGTTACTTGACCATAGGACACGATGAACAGTCCCAAACTAATTTAAAACCAATTATAAAGTATGATACTTGATTATTCTAATATAAACTAATTATCATTTCATAATTTTTTTTTAAAGGGAAATAGCCGTGGCAATTTTTTAAAAAAAAAGATTAAAAAATAGAAGAGAAGATAGAAGATAAGTAGATAAGGGCAAAAGAAGAGACGTGAGGTGTGGGAATAGCAAAAAAAAACATACGGAAGATAATTGATTTTCATATATTTATTATTTATCGATGACAATAATGGTATTTTAAAAAAATATGCACTTTACTTAAAATAAGTTTTTGAGTTGTACTTTTGCCTAAATAAGTCTAAAAAATTGTACTACTAAGGTTTTGGGCCAACCAGTCCATAGGCTTAAAGACATATCCTTACGCCATAGTTCAAAAGGTTTTTTGGGTATGGATATATTTTTTTAAACTTATTTGAGATGAAGTATATAGATAAATTAGTCATTACCTGTGCCTGAAGACACTAACCAAAAAAAAAAAAATTACACAATTGTCCAAATTCAAAAAGAATAACCTAAAAATATTCATACCAATTATTATTTTAAAATGACTCGAAATATATCCCCGATCATATCTTCTATATTAATAGAATTGTCGTAATAATATATAGAACTTTTCAAAACAACATCATACATACAAATGCCTTCGAAAAAAAAAAACAAATACTAACATAATCTATTGAAATTTACAATCTTTAAGTAATAAATAAAATGTTGTTCATTTACAAGACTCATGAATTTATCACATTTACCACCACTCAATCCAATAACAGAATATAATTATAAACACATTCACCATATTTCCAATTCACTCTATCCCCCTATCCCCATGTAATAAATATCTCAAGCCAAAAAAATAAAAAATACTAATATAACGCAATTAAATTCACAATCTTTAAGTGATAAATAAAATCAACCAAATCTTACTCATTTATAAAACTCATTAATTTATCACCACTAACACCATTCAACCCCAAATGACACAATAAAATTATAAATTTAATTACCAAATTTTCAATCCTCCATATATATATATACACAAAAACATACTCTCTCACATTTATTTTTTGGCTAGCAACAAACCTTCCTAACCAATAATTTTTTTTATTAGAAATATAATAATTCAAGTTCTTATGATAAAATAATAATAAATTAATATCTAATTAAAAAATAAGGTAAAAAATACGGACTTCTCCAGAGTTTTGACAATATTATGCGGACACTCCTTGATATTTTATAAATAACATGGAGATCCCTGGAGTTTAAAATTTATTACACAGAGACCCCTTCTGTCTCCCTTCCTTTAATATTGCTAACGGAAAGTGATGATTTTATCCCAAAAAAAAATTATTATTTTTATAATTGCCTTTCTCCAACTTTAGTATCCAAAAAATTAAAAATTTAATAAAATAAAATAAGATTTGATTTAGTACCCAAAAAATTGATATAATTTAGTGCCCCAAAAAATTGATTAAATGAATTTTAATATTAATTTGATAACAATAAAAACTAATTTGATATTAATTCAACAAAGTTGAATATAAATTGGACAAAATTAAATATCAATTTTTGATAAAAATATATATTAATTTACAATTTAATGTTCATTTCGTGTTGAATATTATTTGTTGTTGATTAAACCAACGTGAAATTGACCTTAAATTATAAATTTTTTGTTATATATAAACTTAAAAATTTGCATTTTAACCCATAAAATTTAAATACATATTTTTTTATAGCATAGCGTATTCTCTCTTACTATATCATTTGATAAATTTTCTTTTGGTCAAGATTCGACCACACATACTTAAATCAAATCAATTGTTCACCCCCACTTTTTTTTAAGAGAATCGCTCACCTCCATTTGTTAAACTCAAAAATCTCTAGTTTATATGAAAATAAGTGAAAGTAAATTAAAAAACTTAGTACCAAAATTATGACAAATAGAGCAAACATTAAAAAAACTAAAAAAATAATCTATAAAAAAACCATTATCAATGAGAATTTTAGAGGAATTTAGGCCCGGAATCAATTAAGACATAATTTCAAGCAAAGATGTAAAACTCAGATAAAAAAAATCCTCAAATCATTAAAAATGTGTGCTATTTTTTATTTACATTAAGTGTTATTTAAAAATTAAGAAGTAAGTGACAAAATACATGTTGTCAGATATATAAAATTTTGAATTAATTTTGTGGACTAAATAATTGCATAACATGTAGTTTTCATATGTTTTATGGAGTAAATAATAAAAAAATATCACTTGGAAAACAGAAAAAATAAGATAATAATATGAGAGAGAAAGAGAGAGAAAAAAAAAGTATAAGATAGATATAAAGAGAGTTAGGTAAGCGATAGGAGTCTTAAAAAAATTTGGCATGAGAACCGTTAGATCAATAATCGTCAAGCGATCTAAGCCACGAAAGGTTAAAGACAAAGAAGTATAGCTACTTTATTATATTGATTATTTACTCAATTAAGTTCAATTTTAATAAAATATTTTGTGATTGCGTACAAAATTCAAAATGATATTTTATTTATTTGACTTACTTACCCTTCTTTAAATTATACATAATTTTTATTTTTCACTCTCTCCCCCAATTTCTCACGTCATTACTCTCTATCTCTCCATTAGTCTCTCTCCTATTTTCTCTCTCTCTTTCTCTCACTCTCTATCCCCCTATTTTCTCCCACAATTACTCTCTTTTCTCTCTATCTTTATATCAACGTTACAACACACAATTACACCAATCAGTTATAATTACCCTATAATACACCAAGCAATTATTCATATATTCTAATAAACTAAACAGTTACATCAAATAAATACACAAAATTATGATACCAATCAAATTTATCATTCAATTATTTACATAAAATTAAAGAGTTATACCATTAGTATCACGATAATTATATCAATTATATATACTAAATTTGGTGTAATGGTAAACTCTTTTGTGTAATGATAAACTTAATTTGGTGTAACCATATTGTGATACTAAATGATGTAACTTTTTGATTTATATAATAACTGAATAAAAAATTAAGTTAATTTTGTAATTTCATGTCATTGTTTGGTGTAACTGTTTGATTTTATTAGAACACCTGAATAACTGTTTGGTATATTCTAGGGCAATTGTAACTAATTAA